TTTTTTTTGTAAATGAAACTTGACGATTAAAAGTGAAATTGGAAAAAGGCAATAGTTTTTTTTTAAACGAAACTTGCCAATTAAAAATGAAATTTGCAAAAAGCAATAATTTTTTTTTAATAAAACTTGACAATATTTATATGATTCAAAGATATATATTTATTTACTATAAATTAATGACATAACAATATATTATCTATTAATACATTAAAAATAATTTAGTTCTTATTCACGGACAATACATTAATTAAGTTATTTATTTCAGATAAAAACGTAATTGTTTTTGGTATATAAAAATTTCTTATTGTGTATAAAATAAATTTTATAAAATTTGACATTAATTTGACAATATTAGAATTAATTATCTAATATACAAATTTTTGATTGCATAATTGATATATATATGTGATTTTTATTAAAAGTTCGTTAATATTTGGTATTATTAAAGTTATCATAAATATTTAATATACAAATTTTACAATATATTTAAACTATATATTTATTAAAATTTTGTCTATAATTCGATGACATTAGAACTAAATAATTAATCTATATTTTTTATAATTTATGCAGAATTTCGGCATTTGAACTATTTAACTGTAAATTCTGTTATATAGATTAAAAAAATTGCATGTATATTTTAGCTATGAATTCTGTAGTATCAATTAAATTAAATTTTGCTAATGCAAATTTCATCATATTGATTAAATTAAGCACCCAGAAAATGTGTACCAGGTTAGGATTGGATGATCATCTGAAAAGATAGATCAGAATAAGAATATTCAGAACTAAAAACCAAAATTACATATTTTATAATGTTAAACAGTACATATTCACATAAAAAGTTAATAATCAATATTGTAATTAGCGTTAACTTAGCATAATATTTTCGTTTGTTTTTTCTTTCTGCAAAAAAAAAAAAAGGCAAACATATTACAGACATGGTTTTAATATTGTGTGAGCAATTTATTATTTTGTTAATTACAAGAAACCATTAAATTGAAATCTAAATAAACATTGAATATATCGAACCTACCTATGCTACTTTAACAAATATTTCTGTTAGCTTATAAGTATCAGGTTGAATATTGCAATGTTTAGCAATTTAAAGATGATATTAAAATTGGTTTGTATTTTATTCATAATAGTTCAAATTTATTTAAAAATTACATAGCAATAAAGATCTAAATAAGCATATAATGCCTATTAAAAAGTTTTTTAAATATATCATTGGTGATATTAACTAACTTCTTTACAGTATGGAATATTTCGAAAAAAAATCAAAATATTTAATAGTAGAAAAGTTAATGCTTTATCAGTTTTGTCAAGTTTCCTTATCGCAGTCAAAATAGATCAAAATTAAAGTTCTGCCTTATCAATTTAAAAAAATTCGTATACAAAAAAAAATATTAATCTAAAATGAAGAGGGATAATAAAAGATTAACTACAAAAGGAGTGCTGTTAACTTTTTCTATAAAGAAAAATTCTTGATAAAAAAAGTAAAAGTTTGTTATAAAAAATTACTAAATTTTATTAAAAACACGTGACATTTTTTATATCAAACTATTATGAAAGTCCAAAATTTTGAGTTCATTATATCCAGAGTCGACTGTATATAATTTATTGAGGCCAGGCCTCACTCTTAAAAAAAAAAAAAAAAAAAACATAATTTATCGAAGACGTCACAAAAAACAACCAAATAACTAAACAAATAGACTAAAGCCAAATGATTAAATAGAAATATAAACTAATTAGAGTTTTAAAATATCAAAACTTCAAGTTATTTGTATTATTTCTATATGTTGTATATGTATTGTAAATTGCGTTAAATATTGCCTTATATGATCATGAAAAATAAAGTCTTATTGTTAAAAACAAATAGTCGAAGACTTAATTTCCAGACCATAATCTGGACTATCATCCAAACATCATTTGATCCCAACCTGGTACATATTTTCTTGATGCTTAAATTAAAATTTTTTCTATGAATTCGGTAATTAAATTTTGTTAATTGTAAATTTTGTCATATCAATTTTGCATTACTATTTTAATTATGAATTCTGTAATATCGATTAAATTAAATTTTGTTTATTATAAATTTCATCATATCAGATTTTGCATGACTATTTTAACTACAAATTCTGTAATATAAATCCATTTGATTGTATAAGATTAATTATAAGATACAATCGATTGATGCAAGGTCTGATTGATTGCATAAGATAAAACATAAGACCTGATCAATTACAACAGAATATATTTAGAGGATGGCTAAAGCAAGGTACTTTTTTAATACAATAATGGTTAGTGGTTTATATAAGTATCAATAAGGTAATTTATGCAGCATGTAGATCATTTCCAAATTTATACCAAACACATCTGGCTTTACCTCCCTTATTTAATATAATAAACTTGGGTTTTTCCTTGATATCACCAGATGCATATGATGATATGAAATAAGGACAAAAGGTTAAGAATCACAAATATGATGGCAGTAGAATACATTCAGTATACAAATTCAATTATTTCTAAGATTTAAAAAAATCATAAATATTAATATAATAAAATAAATACAATATAGTAGTACAAATAAATCAGAGTTTGAATAAAAAATATAAAAAGTAATGCTGTTTTTTACGAATTTTAATTTTTTTTTTAACTTTATATTTTTGTAACTTTATTTTTTTTCACGTTTTTTCCTCCAATATTTTTTTTCCCAATATATATTTTCCTTTATAATATTAAGACAATCAAAAAAACCACAAAAAATCTCAAGACATTCTACAACTGAACCTCAACCTCACATTACCGAACCTCAACCTTACGTTACTAAACCTCAACCTCACGTCACCAAACCTCAACCTCACATTACCGAACATCAACCTCGTGTTATAATCGAAACAACATCTTTAACCAAAACTCCCTTACCTTCACCCGAAACTTTACTTTCAACCACAACTCATCAAAGAACAGGCCAATTATCTTAAATCAGTACTCCTTCATCCATTAGACCTATTTAGCTCATCTCTTCTACTAGACCTTCAATATCTATTTTGCCCACCCCTCCCACTAGACCTTCAACTCCTATTCAGCCCACTTCTCCTACAACACCTTCAACACCCGCTTCTTCCACAACACCTTCAACACCTATTTATCTTACTTCTTCCACTATATCTCTTGTCATTACCATCTCTCCTTCAGCTATATTTACATTAAGGCAACAATATTCTACACTTCAGTTATCTGGAAGTACAAGTTCTCAAAGACAACAAAGCCTTCTAGAAAAAGATCGTCTGAAGATCTAGAAGCAGGTTTACAAAAAATTCAGATATAATTTTTTTTTTAGCACCATTTTCTAATCTATATTATTTGGCATTGTAATATGTCAAGTGGTATAGATTAGAAAACGATAGTCAAAAGTTATAATAACTCCAAAATTAAGTCGATAAATATTAATAATCTTTTTCACTTATTGTAATTTTATTTAATATTTTTTTTTGGTTTGTTTTTTTTTTTTTGTAGAAAATGATACTTTACATAAAGAGATTGCGCAGCTAAGGTGCCAAATCTCAGATTTGGAGACTACAAATCGAGATGTGAAGGAAGAAATAGAAACTTTAGTTATGATTAATAATAAATTAGGTAAAGAATCGAACATACAGTCCAAATATACAGGTTCTAATATTTTCAAAAGCGATAAAAGAAGTGAAGACGAAGG